TGCACCTTGTTACTAGTAGCTTCTTGCTACTAGTAGAAATGCCAGGAACTACTAGTAGCTTCTTGCTACTAGTAGCGATGCACCTGTTACTGGTAGCTTCTAGTTACTAGTAGTAATGCACTTGTTACTCATAGCAATGCACTTGTTACTAATGCAGGGCCTCGCCTGAAAGCGATACCGCTGCGCAAACAATCTCTCGGTCCTGAAATTCCAAGGCTAGGCCGCACGAGCAAATAATGGATGGAGGGCTATGAAAGGTCTGAAGAAAGATATCTTTTTCCGTTCTTTGTTTCTTCCTTCAGACTTTAGACTCTTTAGACTTTAAACCTTTCTTTCTGGTTTTTTGGTAGCACAATCTCTCGGTCCTTTTGAAACTCTGCGTCCACAAATTCCAAGGCCAGGCCGGACTGCTGCACTGCCAAGAGCGCGACATTGCGGTCACTGATGACCCGCTTCCAGAGAGAATTGTCGCCATGCAAATGTGGGATGTGCTCCAAAATCCTCGCCACTAGTAGCTGCACAACGACGTCGGGATGGCGCAAGAGCCGTTGTAACATGCCCTTTTCATCACCCAAGCTGCCATCCCTACCTAAAGCCCGGAGGAGGAGAACGACCTGGCGCTTGACAGCCCAGCTGGCATCGCAGAGGAGCATGAGGACTTTTCCGATCTCGCAGTGGCCCTCTAAGAGCACCTCGGGGCTCTCCAACCGGGTCAGAAAGTTCATAGCAGGGATCATCTTTTCAATGTCCTTGGATGGGAGACGGTGCTGGCCCAGTAGCCCACAGGCATTGTGTTTGAGCCAAAAATCGTTGCGAAGGAATCATGATGCTGAATCAATGCGACTCAAGCATAAGATAACCATGTGATTATCAGGGGAAGAAGCTATTAGGGGCTCCTGGCATCGCTACGAACGGAGAGTATTGGTCCTTTGGAGATGACCTATCGGTTCAGAGAGTGGAGTGCAGACAAAGAGAGAGAGAGAGAGAGAGTCTGGTGCTTGTCGTCCTGCTCTTGTCGTCCTGGCTGTTGTCCCTCTGTGTCCGTTCCTGGGAGGGACTGGGGACATGAACCTATTGGGCGATGGCCGACCTAGAAGCGATGGCCTCCAACATCAACCTAATAGCCTTCTTGCTCCGGTCGTAGCGATGCCAGGAGCCCCTAGTAGCGTCCTTGCTCCTAGTAGTAAGGCCAGGAGCCCCTAGTAGCTTCTTGTTCCTAATAGCAATGGCCTCACTAAGTCTATTTGTTCACTTTCAAAATGCGCCTCGGGAGCTTGGGCATCCCGCTTCTTTTTCTGAGAGGAGGCAGCCTCTCAGAGAAACACACTCACAGGCGTAGAAGAAGGCAGGCCGATTTTCTCTCAACGCACGTAGAAACGTTAAATTATGAAGAGTCTTCAAAGTGGTAAACACGTGAAGAGCCGACAGACTCAATTTCTCTGAAGGTCAGTAAGTAGGTCTGCAAATCTCTAATGAGCCCGTTGATGCCTCATTAGCCACTGCAGGAGTTGTCGCATCCTTCCAAGGAAGCCAAAAGGCTTCGTAGCCACAAGAGACATGCTGGCTTCAAGAGCGCTTCAAGAGTCTCAACAAGGCTTTGCACATTAAGAGACATCCAGTATCTGTCAGTATCTGTCCCTTAGCATCCATCTGGAAACATGAGGATGTTCCTCTCTGGTCGGAGCCAAACATGCGTTCGAAAGCATCGCGCTACTCCTGGAGCGCATGTTGCCGCGAGCGGCGCAAGAGCTCGGCCTCAAGGAGCCACTTTGAGACCCTTTCTCTTGGCATTCCCTTTAAAACTCCGTTATTGTCTTTATCCTTTCTCTTTCCTTTTCTTTTCTTATTCTTCTTTTCTTGCCTCTTTTCTTTCAACCTCTAAACCTTTCTTTCTTATTTTTTCCTTTTGCAAAGCCATCGACCAAGTCGGACCACATGTAGGACCATACGGCTGGACTTTGGCTCACACAGCTTGGTCGGCCCACACCGACATACAGTGGTCGGCGCTAGTCAAGTCGGCTCGTCACTTCACACAATGCGCCATTGCTTTCATGAGTAACAAGAAGCTACTAGGAACGAGTGCCTTACTAGTAGCAGCAGGTGCCTTACTAGTAGTAACAAGAAGCTATTAGAAAAGGATGAGTTCGGACTAGAGTGTCAAAAACTTGCCTTGGTGGTGGCCACACATCTTGCCTTGTCTGTCTCAAGACGTGGTGGGAAACTGTAGGCGACGTATCGTCATACCAAGTCTTACCGAGTCTTACCTCTTTCTCAGGACTGGGAGTCCTTCCTCTACCTGTCACCATCTCGACTGAGAGCAGACCTTCACGGCCATCCGTTCACGAATGGCATCCAAGGTCTGCTGGGGCCTCACAACGACCCGAAACGGCCCGAAACGATGAAAAAGCTACTAGTAGTGTCCTTGTTACTACTAGTAAGGCACTTGTTACTAGAAGCGATGCACTTGTTACTAGTAGCGTTCTAGTTACTAGTAGCGTCCTTGTTAGTAAGAATGCTACTAGTAGTAATGCCAGGAGCCCCTAGTAGCTTCTTGTTAGTAAGACCAGGAAGCCAAGGCGGCCAAGGCACAACCAGCCGGTCTTGAAAGAACACTCCTTCAAAACCTCTGAGGACTGTAGGATCCTCAGCGCTCCGAGGAGAGCGACTCTGCCAGGTCCGTTTGGAAGATGTGTGACAGGGGCAGGGCCGGGCAGGCGGTAAGGACGCTACTAGGGGCTCCTGGCCGTACTACTAGGAGCAAGGACACTACAATTGCAGTGACACCAACCTTGCATCGCTCTCTTCGTCGTCTTCGTCCAAATCTTCAGCGATGCTTCTTTGCAAAACGAAGAAACTCCCCATGTGAATGCTGACAAGGCTCTGCTGAACCACCTGGCACTGAGCTCTGTGAAGCCACAAAAGTGTTTCAGGGCGCTTGACACGTGCTTAGTTCAAAAGCGACAAGCCAGGGAGAAACGCTACTAGGGGATCCTGGCCTTACTACTAGGAGCAAGGACGCTACTAGGTGCTCCTGGCATTGCTACTAGGAGCATGGACGCTACTAGGGGCTCCTATGTTGATTCAGACTTCGCTGTCATCAACTCATGTCCTACTCATCTGTTTGGTACCTGGCATATATGTCATGACCCACCCGTCGCCTCATCCTCAATATCCAGGTATTGATAGAGTTGGGAGCGATTCACCTTGTCAAAGACAAAGCTTCACAAGAGACTAGGAACCTTCTTTTGAAAGTGCGCCTGCCGCCACCCAAAACCACAGTTCAACTGCTTTAGAACCTGTGGCCTGTCGACCCTGTTGTAGAGACGCTCTTCATCCCGCTCAGTCGTCAAGTGACCGGAGGCGTGCGGAAGTGACAGTCAAGGGCTTGCACAGGTTGCTGATCCATGGTCCTCAGACGAGTCGACGGAAGGTTTCAGACAAAAAGAACACATCAAAATGACCAGAATCTGGGCTGAAAGTCGGAGCAAAATGAGAATGGCCCAATCAGGTATCGAAATCGATCCTTTCGATGCTTCAGGGTAACTTGGAAACATCGAAACATCGTCCCACAGGTCCAACAAAGACTCCGGAGAGTCAGGGCTGTGACGAGGAAAGGACAATGCAAAGTGATACTGGCGTGTGTGTGTGTGTGTGTCCTTTACAAAATCTCACTGTCCCGTGCACTCCTTTCCAGAAGGCCAGGCCAAACAATGCTTCCGGAAGGTTGGCCACATAAGAGACCATACTAGTAGCAACATAGCACAGACCGTTGCATTGACCAAGCCATCGCGGAAAGACATCTGATGACACACATCTATTTGCTGCACACACTCCATGGCGACGAGCCACCCTTGCACTCGCTCGAAGTAGGCGCGGCGTTCCTTGAGTAAGCGATCACGGAAGTCGATCACCTCCGCAGCAGACATTCACATTCTTTGTTCGAAGGATTGTCCTAGGGCATAAGCTCTGACAAAGGGTGTATTTTATATGTACAATGTCTGTTCTTATCTAAATGCGAAGGCGACCCAAAACAGCCTTCTTTTCTGCTCGTCTGTTGCCCCGAGACCCAAAAGACCGAAAGAAGCTGTCCCGAACATCTGGGAACCAAATCAATCCCCCCAAACCTCAGGCGGCCTACCCTGGAAGCGGCCTGCTTAGCTACTACTTTGTTCCTTACTTGCCCCGTTCGTAGCGTCCGATCGCTGTTCGTAGCGATGCCAGGAGCCCCGAACGTAGCTTCTTGTTACTACTAGTAAGGCACTTGTTACTAGAAGCGATGCACTTGTTCCTAGAAGCGTCCTTGTTCCTAGTTCAAAAACAGCTAACTTAAAGGTTCATTTCACGGCCTAGCGGTAGCGCCTGCATGAAGCGTGTCCCAGGATCGGTGCGCGGGTCGAAGCCCAAACGGATGTAGACCTCGACGGCGACCGAAGATCGAACGGCTTTAAATCTGTGCGAACAAAAAAAAAAAAGGAGGAGGAAATACAATAAAATAAATGCTTCTTGTTACTACTAGTGAGGCACCTGTTACTACTAGTAAGGCACCTGCTACTACTAGTAAGGCACCTGTGACTACTAGCTTCTTGTTACTAGGAAGAAGGTGAAGATTTGAAAATGATGAAAGCCGCCAAAGCATCTCTTAAAGGACCAGACGATTTCGTGGGGGACGGACATAGATGTCTAGACGCAGCTAAACCCCAAAAAGAACACGTTGGGCCTGTGGGAGTTACGGCCGATGCAGCGTCTTCGCAAGCAAATATTTCAACAATTAATTTCAACGTTTAATGTGTTCTGTTGTTGGGCTTGGTCTTGCAGATAGTGCTGCGCCTGCCGCCAAGGGCCATCTGACCAGAGGTAGCTAACACAAATGAAGCTCTTCTGCATCGTGCTCACCTGCCGGTCTTTGCACTTTACGAATGACAGGAAGGAACGCAGGAAGGAAGAACAAGTGGAAGAATATGGCGGAATAGCTTCTCTTGGAGAATCCAGACCTACAAAATGTCGATAGGACTCCGATTTCTTTCGTGCTTCCTTCCCACACTCCCTTGAAGTCAGTCATCTTGGCATCCCCACGTTGGCACTCAAGCCCATCTCCTTGAGCCGCTCCTCCGCAGGGCCTCGGAGCCACAGCGGCCGCTCTGCGAAGAGCTTCTCCAGCCCGGCGACCTGGCAAAGAGAGACGCGGGTCGCATCGAGATCAACGAGTCATGAGGAGACGAGGAAAAGAAGGCTGTTCGGTGGGCTCTGCTAGTTCGGTTTCTCTCCTATTGGTCCCAGTTTTTCCGTGGGGCGTTCGGTGTGATTTTGAGAATATGACACCACCTAGTTTTCCAGAAGCCTTCCAACATAAACAATGCTTCTTGTTACTACTAGTAAGGCACCTGTTACTACTAGTAAGGTACTTGTTACTACTAGCTTCTTGTTGTTGAATGAGAGTCAGACCTGACTTTCTCGTTCGAGCCGACACGCGAACTTTGTCGTGACTGAAAACCATTTGGCAACATAAAGCAAAAAAAAGACAATGAGTTGGAAACTATGTCCAAAAAAATGATTTGGAACTATGTTCATCCTACAAAGGTTTGGACTAGTTTGGAAAGCATTGTTTTTTTTGGTTTGAGCCTCACATATGTTGGGACTAGTTGGAAGAACACGGTTTTTGTGTTTGTTTGGTTTGAGAAATAGGTTTATGAACACTGTTTATAAACAGAACAAATGTTTTTGCACAATGTCTTCTGATGCGGCTAATCATTTGCAGCATTTCAATTGCGAACCCGTAACGCCAACCTTCAGTAGTGCTACCAATACAGCATGTTTGAAGCCGGGACTGACTACAACATGGTATTTTTTGTCTCCCATATTACCTACATATATATATATACAGCCTAACATCATATATTTCTTGAAACAAGCGTTCTAATAGACATTGTTTACAACTACAATTACATCCACAACAATAAGGCAGTATATTATCCAGTGAGTGAGGATCAAGGTTAGAATCTCGTTGGCAAGTTGAATTATTCATAACATGTCAACCTTTCATATCAATATGAAATCCACACCCAAAATAATCACACTAATTGTTGACATTATCCAAGAACCACTGAAAATTTACATATCCTTCTTTTGGTACTTTTTTTTGCTGGTTTATCCTGCATTTGGAGTTTTCAATGTGTCCACCACAAAAGCTTATAAGGCATCTTCTAAAGTCATCATTGGCATTCATTTTTGTACCTATAGAATCTTACCTTGTTCAAAAAGGCAGTCCAAACCCATTCAGGATAATGTTCTACAAGAAAATGCCGATAATAAAATATTGAAAAATGTCCACCAATGCTACTACCTTAAGCAGAATGGCAAGTTGAACACCAAGCAAGAATGAAGTTTTTTTCTTACGTTGTCAATCTCTAGTTTTATGAAGCATAGTTGGTTTCACATTCTTCAAGGTAATAGTGTCATTACCAAAATGCAAAATGTGTTTGAAATGCACATGTAAAACACATGTGTTTGATTTGGTATACTCCCTGCATATCAAGAATTGACCTACTTCATATTCATGTTCTTAAGCTTTTCAGTTTCTCAATCTCACTTGATACATGTTTGCAGGACTTATTCAAAAGTGCTATGTTGTATGTTGACGATGTAGTGTCATCAGTATGTCTACCGTAAATTAGTTCTCAATCAGTTTAGTTGTTGGTATGTACAAATATATTGTTCTTGATATTGTTTAGCTTTTGTTCATCCTCTTCTGTGTCCAGTCTCGTGTTTTCGTTCAGCAATATATTATGTTCAAACATATTGTCAATCATTGCATCAGCATAGTGTTTGATCATCTTTGGTATGTGTCGGCTCCTGAACTGGCTTTAGTTGTTTGGTATCACCTGCTGCACAAAAAGGAATTGCTCAACAAACTAGTTGGTTTTCCAATAAACACTCAAACCGATGAAATAGGTTTGATCAAATACTAATGCATCAAATTCTGATAATCAAATGGTTCTATTTTAACATCATCAGCACTTGTACCAAAAATCTTGTTTATTGTCGTGGCCATCACCTTCAAATTCGTGTGATAGCCTATTAATAGGGCATAGAAAAAATACTGTACGTTTGCCTGCTCCTGCAAATAAACTCCTAATCGTTACCTGTGTCTATCATCAGTATCATGCTCATCAATTTGAATTTCTCTACCTTTGTAGTTGGTATGTCTACAATTTGATTGTCTCATTAGGCAGTTCAATATCCGCATGCTTGCTCATTGCTCACTCTCCAGCATCCAATCTTACTGATAAAATCAATAATTCCGAAAATAATTCCCTTGGGTTCTTTTCATCTTCAGCCTTGATGGTGAAAGCATCAATCTTACAACTATATACTGTAATACTAGCATGCTTCAGTTTAAAGTAGGTGTTATACATTGAAAACATGGTGTTGCAAAAGAAGCTCTTTGATATACCTGTATCCATTTTGTATTTGTGCCTTGTCCTTCAAATCTAAAATGTACCGTAACCTGCTTCCTGTTCAGCTTCAACGTTTCAACTGATGAATGCCAACTATGGTGTCCCTCACTTCCTTCAACTTCTGCCCGAGTCACCACGCCTGCATTTGTTCTGTTTTTCCATCTCTCAGGCAGTCTCAGTACTCAATGGTTTCCAAAAAATGCAGCTCATCAGCAGTCTCAATGGATTTCCCATTGCCCGCTGTGGCTCCAAGATCTTCCACTCATTGTGGGTCGCCCGCATGCACCTGTGCCTGGGCCACTGGCTGCACCATACCCGGCAGCGCCATGCCCGCCCCGGGCATACCAAACTGAGTCGGTGCCATTGTAGCCGGGATCCAATGTGGTGCAAATTCTTCGGCCTTCACATTCAGCACAAGGATGAGATTCACACCCGCTTTGGGCCATATGCCACGGCTGCTGTCTCGAGTTGCCTGGACCAAGGCCTGGCCGTACTGGTCATAGGCCATCTGGTCGGGAACCTGCGCCACAACGTCAATAGCCTCCGAAAGCTCTATGGAACAAGATTGACAGGACCAGGATTTGCTGTGTTCCTTGGCTATGTCTGCCAGGCCTGAAATAAAGCCACTACTCCAAGAAGTATAGGCATACCAGGAAACACACAAAGTGCAAATAGCACACGTCATAGCACAGCAAGGCTTCCACGCCCCCGGGCTTTTGCATCCATAGCATCCTTGAGGGCAGACATGAGATCGTTCCACTGTTGCTCTGCACAAGCAGAGGCAAAGCAGGCGTCATAACCGGGGAATTCTTGATTGCCCTTGCTTTCAACGCTCAAGTGGACATAGAGCTCGACGTTTTTGCCACGACTCCTCGCTAAAGGTTTCGTGAAGATTCGGCCGAAATTGCTCTTGTCGCTGGGGTTGGAAAACATGGCTACCGCTACGCAATTACGCACAGCTCGCACCGAAAACGGTCGGGTTGGGTCACTTCGTCTGAGCCGGGCCTTGAGCCAGCACCACACCTGCATACATATTATAAACATGTATATATGTATGTATATGGGGGGCGCTGACATTAGCACTGGCAACTTTAAGTTTAATAGGTCGTGGAACACTCCCCCAGGGGGCCCCTAATCAGCACCCGCCCATTGTGTCAACATGAGGTCTCGCACGGTGTTCTACCCCAACAGTTTTTTGCCGCCCTCCAGGGTTACACAGCTTTTCAGTTCAAGCGGGAAAATCCGTAAGGGCTGGGCAATTTGCTTCTCATCCTCTCGCAAAGAGTCCTGGAAACTCTCCAAATGATGTTTCGGCTTTTTTCGATCCAGCACTTTCAAGTCTTTCCCGACAGTCTAATCATGAGCTACCACGTCGGTGGAACTCATATCCTCAAAGCTGCAAGTCCCACCTTGGCTCCTTCAGGCGGTTTCGTGGGCACCGGCTCTAGTAGCGATGGCCTTTGCTCCTAGTAGCTTTCTTGCTCCTAGTAGTAAGGCCAGGAGCCCCTAGTAGCGTCCTTGGCTCCTTCAGGTGGTTTCGTGGGCGGCTCTTTGTTGTTGAACTTCATGATGTGCACCTAGGCCAGGTGGGAAATCGTTCCGTCGTTCCACTGCAGCGTGGGCTCAGGCAACCAAAAGCGATCAAAGAAACATTGATTGCTCAATTCTTCATGCCTTGCACTTCGGAATATTTTTTGTTTAAACAAATAAGTAGGCTGGTGTTCGTAAAGTACACTGCTCCAGTTCATTCAGCCCACTCCTCGGTAAACCTTTTCAAGGGAAGAAACCTTGCAGTCTTGAGCGAAGTGGGGCTTGGAGTTCACGAAGCGGGTTGGGTCCTTTGAGATGAATTGCAGAGCGACCGCCGTCGTCCTAGGAGTCCCTAGGAGTCAGGGAGTCGCGACCTTCTAGCGATGGCCTCCAGAAACTGAGCTCTCCACCCCAACCCAGTCGCGGTACAGCTTCGCCTCCGAAGTACCCGCAATGGCTTTGACCTCCGAAGTACACTGTCCCCAGGCGGCTGCAAGCGGCCGCAAGCGTTCTCGGAGGTTTGTTCCTAGTAGCATCCTTGCTTCCAGTAGCGATGCCAGGAGCTACTAGTAGCTTTTTGTTCTTAGTAACTTAGTAGTAATGTTGGATCTTGATTAGTAATAGGGTCCTCTATAATGCTAAATTTTGGAAAAGTAATTCTTGACACCCTGTTTGTTTTGAGGGTCCTCTATTCTGCTAATTTTCTTTGGGATCCTTATTTTTTATTATCTGAAAAATATTTAGGGTTAAGTATATTTCCTTTAGGAAAATAGAAACATTAATTCTTAATACTACTAAGCCAATGGTTGGATTTCTGAGAGTATTGATAAGTATAGGTGTCCATAGTTCTTCTTCAAATCTGACAGCTTCCCAAAACCATCAATTCCCTAATCAATCCTTTATGAAAAGATTGCTCCTAAACAAGTTTTCAAGGTAGTAGACCAGGAAGGCCCGTGCTCCTCAATAATGAATTTGTTTTAAGGGTCCTCAACTGTGCAAAGTTTCTTCCTGATGAAAAATAAAAATAGTAACTATTAATACTACTAAGCCAATGGTTGGCTTGCTGAGGGTATTGATAAGTATAGGTTTCTATAGTTCTTCTGCAAAACTGACAGCTTCCCAAAACCATCAATTCCCCAATCAATCCTTTATGAAAAGATTGCTCCTAAACAAGTTTTCAAGGTAGTAGACCAGGAAGGCCCGTGATCCTCAATAATGAAATTGTTTCAAGGGTCCTCAATTGTGCAAAGTTTTTTCCTGATAAAAAATGAAACATAGTAATTCTTAATACTGCTAAGCCAATGGTTGGCTTGCTGAGGGTATTGATAAGTATAGGCTTCTATAGTTCTTCTTCAAAATTGACAGCTTCTATTACTACTACTGCTGCTACTACTACTACTGCTGCTACTACTGCTACTCCTACTCCTACTCCTACTACTACTCCTGCTGCCGCTGCTGCTGCTACTGCTGCTACTCCTACTACTACTACTGCTGCTACTACTACTACTACTGCTACAACTACAACAACTACTACTACTGCTACTGCTACTGCTACTGCTACTCCTACTACTACTACTACTACTACTGCTACCACTACCACAACCACAACTACTACTACAGCTACTACTACTACTACTACTACTACTACAGCAGCTACTACTACTACAACTACAACTACAACTACAACTACTATTACTACTACTGCTACAACTACTACTACTGCTACAACCACAACCACAACCACAACCACAACTACTACTACTACTACTACCACTACTACTACTACTACTACTACTACAAAGAGAGAAAGGAAAATGAATACTACAATCAATTATAAAAGGAATCCTCCTAGGGACCCAGATTTGTTTTAGTGGTAGTTCTTTTTATAGAGGCTCCCCCATTTGTTTGAGGGGGGGGGGTCCCTTTTACTAATCAAGATCCATCATTAATGCCAGGAGCTACTAGTAGCTTCTTGTTCCTAGTAGTAATGCCCTTGTTCCTAGTAGCTTCTTGAGCCAAAGGATGACAATTATCTGAAACAAAAATGATTTTTTTATTTTGGCCACGCGCCAGGCCTCCGGATTCCGCTGCCGCTTTAGGAAGGAGTTCTCCTAGAGAACAAACATCGAGCCCATGATATCGGCCCCGTTCGGCTTTCCGTCTTTCCTTCCTTTGCACGTGTTCAATAAAATGTCAAGTACAAACTGGACATGGAAGAAGAAAACCACCATATTCCAATCGACCTCGAAGTCATAGGCTTGTGGCGTGTCGACCCTGCACAGCGACACACTGCGATTGAGTCATTTTCTCGTCAAACTCTTTTGCGTAGAAAGTATAGGCAATAGTTCTGGCAAACCGCTCATTCTGCATCCAAAAACATCGGCAAGCAGCCGGAGACAAGGCAGAACGTAGGCAGGGCAGAAGGTGTCGCTTCTGCGTGTGAAGGCAGGGCATAGGGCCATAGGGTCGGTCAGTGGGAGCGTGGCACTTGTTACTACTAGCTTCTTGTTACTACTAGTAAGGCACGTGTTACTACTAGCGTGGCACTTGTTCCTAGTAGCTTCTTGTTACTACTAGCTTCTTGTTACTACTAGTAAGGCACCTGTTACTACTAGCGTGGCACTTGTTCCTAGTAGCTTCTTGTTACTACTAGCTTCTTGTTACTACTAGTAAGGCACCTGTTACTACTAGCGTGGCACTTGTTACTACTAGCTGAGATTCAAACACTGAAGGGGTGCAAAAAGCACTTCAACAAGCTTGTGAAAATGAGCTTCAAAAGCTGCTCAGACTGTCTCGTGCCTTGTGAAGTATGCCGGGGGCATGTAAGGAGCACCTGAAACGCCTTCGCCGCTGATCTCCTGAGGTGCAAATGGTATCTATATAGATCAGTTTCACCACCAAATTGTTGTGTTTTTGTTTTACCTCTGATTTGGGACCTCTGGGACAGCTGAGTATGCACCGATGAGAGGTTTCTTGGGCCAAAGCCCTCACTCACACCCCAATCGAAGATTACAAATTCAGCTTGCAGACTGCTGATCTTCTTCAATTGGTGTCGCTTCCTGACTCGGATGATGTCTCAATCATTGGAGCATGGCTCATAGCCGGCTCTGGCTTTGTGCAACTAGGTGGCCTGACAGGTCACCCTCATCCTGAACTGTTCTCACAGAAGTGTTCCCAGTTCTCGCCATCTCTTAGGAATTAAGCTACTAGGAACAAGTGCATCGCTTCTAGTAACAAGTGCCGAGTGCCTTACTAGTAGTAACAAGAAGCTATTAGTTAACTTATTTCAATTTTAAGAAGTGTTACTACTAGTAAGGCACTTGTTACTACTAGCGAGGCACTTGTTACTAGTAGTAACAAGAAGCTACTAGAAGCTAGAAGCTTGTAATGATATTTCTTGCGTCCTCACAAAGCGAACGAGTGAGTGAAGCTCCTGTTCGATGGACCCGATGATGGAGTGTTCTCCGTGCTTCAGCTCCGAGCCCGGCACAAAGAGAAAGTCGGCCAGGACCTCCATACTAGTGACAAAGGCATCGCTACTAGTAACAAGGCGCCCTACTACTAGTAACAAGGCGCCCTACTACTAGTAGCTTCTTGCTACTAGTAGTAAAGATCTCGAAAGGCCTCATTCCTGCAATCAGAGGTTTGGTTCATGGCAAAACACCCTGCAATCACAAACAAGCACTAAGGCAATAAGTCACTAGTTGAGGGACATTTCCCTTTCTGGGATCCAAGGCAAAAGCCCCTGAACTGTGAAGAAGCCTGGCGCTCAAGCGGATTAAGGCACTTTTGCTTCCCTTTGTCAAGATGTGCCCATGGCATTCTGTCATATGAAGCACATCCTGAAAAGACCTGGTGAGACGATGTGACATTGAGACGAAAGTCAGCGCGAGAAGCCTAATTGTTACACACCTCCGTCAGAAGAATCCCTTTATGTTTCTACTGTTCTATTCTTCATGAGGAACAAATTACCCCCCCGTGGCCCTTGAGTATAGCAATGAAGCCCCCCTTTTTTGAACTGGAGCGTTGGAAAGAAATTGCAGGAATCTCAAAACCCTGGACACAAAATTCCTGCAAATCATTGCGCGTTCCCTACATCAGGTGGGCATTATTGCATGGCAAACGACCTTGAACCTCCACCGCCGTGCGAGAAACGAAGCCCTTCTGGCAGAGGTGGGAATCCGGCGCCGGTCTCAGCAAAAGCTATCCCAACCTGGCAGGGCCAAGATCAAGATCGGATGACAAACCCTCCCCAAATGGCGGCGCAAGAATGTACTTTCAAGAAGTCACCATGTATGCAGTGCATACCAAAGAGGAAGTATCATTGAAAAGGATGTCCAAAATACACAAACCGAATCGTTCATTCAGTACTGCCGGTGTCTTACGATCTCACGTATTACGTGTCTGCCGGTCTACCGAAGGAGCTCAACGAGGCGATCGTTTACGAGCTCTGATGATCAGGAGCCTGGAAAGCGCAGCGCTATGCCGGTCCTCAGCTGGTGGATCGGATTCACACAGGATCACGTGGGATCACTGGGCACCTTGCTACTGGTAGCGTCCTTGCTCCTAGTAGTAAGGCACCTGTTACTAGTAGCTTCTTGTTACTAGTAGTAAGTTCAGGAGCTACTAGTAGCGTCCTTGCGCCTAGCAGAAGTGCCCTTTGCTACTAGTAGCTTCTAGATCAGGATTCCCCGTCAATGAACCATATTTTTCTTGTTAAAGCCCGCTCCTACTTGATTCAGCAGGCGCCTCCTTAATCAAGTAAGGGCGACGAGTTCGCTTCTAGTAACTGGACGCAGGATAGCTCCGGCACAAATGATTGGGTTCCTAGATATTTTGGGAAACTGAACTAGTAACAAGAAGCTACTAGGGGCTCCTGGCATCGCTACTAGGAGCATACTTACTACTAGTAACAGCTACTGTTAAATCCTTTGCATGGTCCATGGGCCCATGAATTCCACCGAGCCACATGTTGCCAAAGGGGTCTCATCGAACTTGCGTTTGGAGCCCTACGAGAATGGTTCACCACCACATTCCGATGGCCCGTCTCCTGTCCACGGCCAAGTTCAGCAATGTTTTAGTCCAAGCTTCAGCCAGCGCATGCAGCTCATCCAAAGCGGGCAAGCCAGGCCTCTTGAATCTCACTGAACTGAACTCCACGTGCCTCGCATGATCCTGCCTACTTTCCGACATCATCTATATATCTACCAAAAAAACGACACTCCAAAAAAGCTGGAAGCTGAAAAGCAAAGCAAATAACTATATAAAAAGAGCAGAGTCCTAAGGAGATAACACGACAATTGCTCTCATAAACGCACTGAAGCGCCCTCTTTCACCCAGAATCGCCCTGCGCAGCTGCGCGACGGACCGGGCCACCCCACACAGAAGCGCAACGAGATGCCGAGCCTCCATCGCCTGTACGCTTCAGCCACCATTTAGGATGCAGTTAGACTTCTGGCCGTCACTGCTTGCCCCAAGGTAATACCCAACCCAGCGTCGTGACATCATTTGCTCATCCGAAACAACTGGGCTCTGTCAAATGACTCTCGACAACTTGGGCTCCCACCAGAGTTCTGCAGCATCACCTGCGAGATTTGGGAGCTGAACTCTCAACATATGCTAGAAGCGTATCCCAACAACCTCGGAACTAACACATGAAGATGCGCTCCGAAGTTAGTTGATCGATGTTAGAAAGTTGAAATTGGTGGCCAAAAGCAAAAAACTGTTACAACAAACAACTAAGTTAAGTTAAATCATGACATCACTGACATCCAGATCCACACTGCAGACTCACGACATCCGGCACCCCGCACCTCGCCTGACATCCTCCTGACTGTGTGGTAGGCGCTGCCGCCGCCCGGTTCACGGCACAGCGGCCACTTGGCTGGGCACGCTCAGTGCGCTGAGGGACATGTCGAGGACTCACCGGCTGCTGCATGACCAGGCGAGCCTGGCTGCATCTTTTCTGTTTTCATCTGTCTTTGTCGTTGATGTAAAAACTGTTGGACCTTTGCCACCTTTGTCTTGTGTTCTTCCTTCTTTAGATTTGCTAAAAGCAAGAACTCAGCGTTAAGTCTCTGGCTTTGATGGGGTCAAGTCCGCCAAGTCTCAGCGTTGGGTCGTTGGGTCGCTTCGTGCTGCTTCTAACCCTTCTAGCCCCGTTGCTTATCAATGGTACGGATGCGCAAAAAACAACACAACTGGCAAGCAATAAGTGTCTCTGGTTTCAATCAAGCACCTTGGATGCCCAGTTGAAAATATTGCTGACAGGTCAGTCATCAATCTGCCAGTGCTCCGATGCCAAAACAAGCATCGGATGGGCCTATGATAGTGATCCTGAAAATGCAAATCATCCTTCCGTGCCATCCAAAATGCAAATCCTTCCTTCGGAGGAACAAAACCATGGAGTGTAAACCTCTCTTCGCCGAAACAGGTCGAATGCTCCCATTCAATCGAAGACCTCTCACCTGATGCATCTCCTGTTTGAGTTCGATACCTTGGTCTCACTCAGTTTCTGGACGGCCAAACCCTTCAAAAAGGTGTAGATTGTGTCTATGACCAATGTGGCACGTCGGAATGTTGGAATTTGGTTTCACTAGGAGAGTCAAATTGTTGTGTCTTTTCAATTGTCCATATTTCCACAATTGTCAGCCCACTACTGCCACTACTGCTCTTCACACCAACATCTGTCGTCCGTCTAACACAAGAAGCTTTCTAGAACCTTTCGTAAGGTCAACCTAGCCATACCTGGCCCACCTGGCGCAGGCTTGTGACCTGTGGTTGCTCCTGTCTTCCCAGTCATTTCACGAGTTTGTCAAACTCTCCTTCACTGTTCCTCATGTCTTGGTGAGTTGTTCCACTTCCATCTCCAATCCCTTATTACTTTTGCCCTTTCTTTGACCTTTCGTGAGTTCCACAAATGCAAATGAACGCATGCAGCATATCTCTGTCAATATCAATTCCCTGATGTGCTGTTCCGACAACTTGATATGATGCTTGTGATGTGTAGTGTGCTTCGCAACATACCTAACACAGGATGTTCCGCAAAATCGACCACGGGATCACATCGAAAGCCGTCCGCGGCCATCCAAAAAGGAATCCCTCAACCATCTGCAACAAAAATAAATAAAAAAGACTCGGAGGAAGTAAAATAGAAACGTTCAAAAACTCCACACTTCTCGACACTAAACCCTCCAACCACCGGCCCTCTCCAAGTGGCGGTGGCGCTCCAGCATCTCCGCCAAGCGCTGCAGGGTCCGGGAACTCCGGGGTGAGACCTGAAACGACGGGTTTGGAGCCAACCTAATGGCGTCCTTTGCTCCGTTCGTAGCGATGCCAGGAGCTCCTAGTTGCATCCAACCTAATAGCGATGGCCTCCATCGGCTTGGTCTTTCCCGTGAATTCCGTCTGGAACGGGAGTCACTGAGCCCTCTCACCGGGAGCGGTGCCGGAGGCGCAACGGCGAATGGGCTACCTGGGCGAGCCGAATGGAGTCAAAGAAAGTCTGCTGAAGAAAGGAATCAATCAAAAGAGGTGGCCAATCCAACTCTAAAATTGATAGCCTCCAACCTAACGATGGCCTCCAACCTAAGAGCGATGGCCTCCAAACCGAATAGAAAGGAATCAATCAAACGATCTGTGTTTTGTGAATGTTTGTTCAGTTTCGTTCTTTGATCCTTTTCATTGTTTTGGGGGATATAGAAGTTCTTTCGGAAGATTTGTTCGGATGGACCAGCTAGGCCCTTGGCTGACAGCTCCGCTATATGCGCCACATGCACCAGCGCCCACCGGCACATGTGGTGCCACAACACAGGCATGCGGCCAGCTTGCCATCGCTTCGGTGGATGGAAGAGTTCTCCAACAACGGGTTTCCAAAGAAAGAACTGTACATCTCCCTCAAGCACTGGGCTGTTGTGACAAGTAAAAACAGGAGCCCCAGGCGCATGTGCGTTCTTTCAACGCTAGCTACACCTGGCAAATAAGGTGCCACAGGACTCACTTCACAGCCTTGTAGAATCTTCGTCTATAAACTTTCAGCGGCGAGGAAATGGACACCAAACATCCGCGAGCTCCTACTCCTCAAACTCCCAAAGACTAGACACTAGGTTAAGAGATTTACTCTAACAGCGATCTTCTAGCAATTTCAACATGGCAATGGTGCCGGCAACATCACATATGCAAAACATATAACCTGACGAATTGTGCATTGAAAGATACTCTTTGCGTCACGTGCAGCTCCAGATGCGGCCCAACACCAAATACAGAAATCAGGGTGGGTCATGTCCTTGTTGTTCGAGTATTGTATCTCTTCAAAAAAAGAAGCTACTACTAGTAGCTCCTGGCATTACTACTAGGAACAAGAAGCTACTAGTAACAACCGGCCTCGGTTCGGAAGGAGGTCGGAACCCAGGCGATGGCCTCATAGTCCTGCAGTATGACCCCCCACCATCACCAACTGCCTGGCAACCTACTAGCAGAGCAATGGCCTCCAACCTAGGAGCCATGGCCTCCAACGTAAGAGGGATGGCCTCCAACCTGCTAGCGATGGCCTCCAACGCCTCCAACCTACTATAACCTCCAACCTACCAGCAATGGCCTCCAACCTACTAGTCCAACCTAAGAGCGATGGCCTCCAACCTACTAGCGATGGCCTCCAATCCCAAGAGCGATGGCCTCCAACCTACTAGGCCCAGGCCCTTACTAGCGATGGCCTCCAACCTAATAGCAATGGACCTCAAAGGTTTGGCTTCTTTCTGACCACCTCAACCACCAGCTGAAAACAAACTCAACACAGCTCCCGACCCATTCTGGCCGGTCCCATGTGCCATCTTCTTTCTTGCGAGCTTTGACTAGAAGGTCTGACCTAAGTTCCACAGCTGACCGTCTCCAATGCTTTGACCATGAGAATAATATCCTTGACTTGACTCTTGACTCTAATATAAAACACCGTACAAATAGAAAAGGCATCAAAAGGCCAAATACAAAAGGGCTCAAAGCGTTGCATTGTGTGTCAGTGTGCAACTCTTCTGGGCCGCTCGCGTCCTGTGTCGTTTCATGGGCAGAGGTGCCTGAGGCCCACCGGTCAGTCGTCTTGACGTGCTCAAGAAATGAATCAATAGCGATGGCCTTTGCTCCTAGTAGCGTCCTTGCTCCTAGTAGCGATGGCCTTCAACCTACGTCGACGAACAGAAGCGACATCGGCTTCGACCATCATCAACATCGGCGGGGGAGAGCCTGGAACTGGTATCTCCGACAAAGTCGAAGGCGAAGCCTGTCCCGAACTGTGCTTGAGATCAGAGAAATGAAATGCGTGAAATGAAGTGGGATCCTTGACACTGATGAACCGAGAAGTCAAAATGAAGTCTTCTCACCCAAAAATGATCGATGAACATCAATGAACCGGCAAAAACGTGTCACACCGTTCCGTTCCAAAACCGCGATGTGACGCAAACACCGCAAGGTTGGTGGCGATCGTTGGCGCACTTGCCCTTGTTGACAATGGCGTCAGTGACCGCCTTCGGCCCACCGACTGCTGCCTGAGCTATTCTGAAAGTGGCCAACAACGCAACATGGAAAGGATGCTACTAGGGGCTCCTGGCCTTACTACTAGGAGCAAGGACGCTACTAGGAGCAAAGGGCATCGCTACGAACGGAGCAAGGACGCTAAGACGCTTAGAACCTGAGCGCTTCAAATACGCTTCTCTTCGCAACCGTGCTAGCTCGGGGCAGATTGGATGGCAGAAAGCATGCAAAAACTGGGTTACCACAGTTAAGACAAGGTGAAGTCGTAACTGCAAAGCAATCAGTCTTCAACAGCTCCAAGTGGCCACTGCTTCTTCAATGTCATTGGCACGCCCAGGGACCTGCCAGCTTTGATTCAGGTATAGAAATGTAAATACAAATACATTGTACTAGGGATGGCCTCCAACCTAAGAGCGATGGCCTCCAACCCAATAATTTCGCAAGTCTTTGGCAAAGTGGACTGTTTGTTGACATGACTATGTTTGTCATTGTTTGTCTAGAGTAAAACCAAAAAGAATGCGGACTCCAACCTCGACCAAGGTCACCGAGCCCAGCTTCGCGTCTTCGGCGTCTTCGGCGTCCTCGGCTTCGAGGAACACAAGTAGAAGCGTCGGCCAGGACGCCTTGTTCCTAGTAGCGAACATTGCTCCTAGTAGTACGGCCAGGAGCCCCTAGTAGCTTCTTGCTCCTAGTAGTACGGCCAGGAGCCCCTA